CTTTTATTACCCAAGATGTTCTTAAGAAATTTAGCATAAGTTGGCATTTGTTTTATAGCATCGGTGAATGGAGTGTTAACATAAAGCTTTCTCAACACTTCTAATAATTTAGCAAATTGTCATCAAGTCTAGACCCGGCAAACCTTCCCGGAAAAGGAATCTTTGCCACATGATTTTGCTATCTTTTTTTTCTTTTTCAACTTCTTTATCTTTCTTTTTATATTCTTGTTTCTCTTTCTCTTTTTATTTTTCAACTCTCAACTCTCCATGGGAATCACTCATCTCAATCACTTTTACTCTTGACTTCTCACCTTCTAAGTCATGTTGCATACCCTTCCCTTTGTCTTCCCCCAACCTTTTTCCACTTCTAGTTACAATAACATTAGCTTGCTCCCTAGGATCTTGACCTTGACTAGGCAATGAAGTACTAGATTTTCCCTTAAGAGAACTAGCTATTTGGGACATTTGATTTTTCAACATTTTGTTGTGGGTTTGCATTTGTTTTAAGCTTTCCTCTAAGCCATTTGTCCTTTTAGTTTGGGTATTGATGAATTGCTCCATCATGGTTTCTAAATTAGACTAAGGAGGAGGGGGAGCTTGAATTTGGAGTGGTGGTCGACGGATAGGAGCTAGAGTTAGTCTTACTCCTCCATTAAAACCGGGTGGGTTGTGAGTGGAAGAGTATTGGCCTTTTTGTTGGTACCTATTGTCATTTCTATAGTTTCTTTGATTGTTAGACACATAGTTACCATCACCACTAGCATGACCTTGATGTTGCACATTCCCTTGACCGCTACTTTGCCCTTGGTTTTGGCCGCTTCTCCAACCAAAATTGGGGTGATGTTGGAGTAGGAGTCATACCTAGGGTTGGCATGCACATTGTTAACTTGTTACGTAGAAGGGGAAGGGGAACATTGGTCATTCAACAAAGGACACTCGGAAGACATATGGTCTTCGCCACCACACACATCACAAGACATCATTTTCATAGACACATTATCATTTGAAGGATTATTAAATGCATGTGAGTTATGGAGAAGGGAGATAGGAGGGGGAGAAGATTGCAATTGATCAAATTTAGAAGACAAAACATCTAATTTTGAACTAAGCATATTGATGGCATTAACTTCATACCTTCGTCCTTTCTTAGAAGTGCTCCTCTCATCCAATCGATGTAGTTTTGAACTACATCTTCAATAATGATTTTGAGTGCTTCATTTCGTTAGTGGCTTGTTCATGAGTGGTCTACCCGATGCCCTATCCAATTGTATGCGGTCCGGTCTCAAGAGGCCCCTATAAAACCCATGTAGCAAGAGTCAATCTTCCATGCCATGATGCGGGCATTGTTGTTGATAGCTCTTAAATCTCTCCCAAGAATCATAGAGAGACTCGTCGGGCTCTTGTTAAAAGTTTGATATTTTGGATCTCAACTCCGCCGTTTTTCTAAGAGGGATGAACCTCCCAAGAAACGCAAAGTCACCTCATTCCATGTTGTCAATGAGTTAGGGAGAAACCTATCGAGCCAATCACTTGCCTTCCCCGAGAGAGAGAACTTGAACATGCTTAACAAGATATAATCGGGAGTTACACCATTTTCCATCACGGTGCTACAATACCGTGTGAATTGTTTAAAAGATGAGCAATGGGGTCCTCATGTTTTGCCCAGGAGAATTGGTGACTTTCTATCAAGGTGATAATATGGGCGGGCCTTATCTCAAAATTGTTTTCCTCAGTAGTGGGAGTGGAAATCCCACTCGGTTCTTGATATGGTGGAGGAACACCAAACTCCCTCAATGCTTATTTGGAAGAGCCATTTCAAATTGATGGAGAGGTGGAGAAGTTGGAGAATTTGTCCTTGGTGATTATAATGGAATGGTGTCTCCACTAGACTTACTAGAACTAGAATAGTTAGACTCAACCACCACTTGTGGCTCATTTGAAGTAGCGCCACTAGCTCTCGCCCTCTTTTCTCTTTGATTAGCCCTTACTACCTTTTCAAGCTCGAGGTTCAACGACATAAGAGAAAGTGCTCTATTGCTGCGTTTGGGCATAAAACAAAGAAGACTAGATGATAGATTAGTAGGTTAGTCAAAGAAAAACAAAGAAAAATAAAGCAATAAAATGAGCTAGTCTCACATATTTCACAAGTAACTCAATGCTTAACGCCATTCCCCGGCAACGGTGCCATTTTGGTAGAAAAATAAATCGGTCGTTGGACAATCACCCTAATCCAAAAAATATTTCTACCTAAACCAACCTAAGACAAGTCTAGGGAAAGTAGACGATCGTATCCACAGGGAACGGGTAAAGAACACTGAGATTATGAAACAGTTGTAAGCTAGTCCGGTCACAAATTGGGGTTTTGATTAGTTAACTTCTATAGAGATGAATGCTAGGGGAAATGGGATTCAACACCAACCAAACCAAATAATTGATAACAAGGATAAATCATGAACATACATGGGTGATAGCATAGGAACTTAACATTGTCTTCTTTCAAAGTCACAACATAAGTATTCCCTAGATCAAACACTAACATGACAAAGAGTAAGTCTCAATGGTAGGAAGAGGGTTTCTAACTTGAGTTTGTCTTTCGATCGCTCCGAGCTAGCATAAAGCATAATTAATTGGGATTTCTCATCGAAATTACCACACTAAGGCATCCTATTCATTGAAACCAAGTACCCATAGTCATGAAAATAGCATAATCCAATTGCACTAGAAAGGACTCACTACTAAACCCCATCATTCAATCTGAGTAAAGGAATGAACACATGAGAATGAAGTGGCCACCAAAATACACATGCAATAATCAATTCAAGCACAAAGAGACATCAACCCAAAGTAAAACATGAAGAAATCCAAGTCAATCAACCATGGCTTGGTTGGGTTTTCACCCAAACCCTAACTAAGGAACTACTCACTAAACATGGTGGGAATTATTCTAACAATTATATATCAAGGGTTTTCATGAATTCATTTAAACTAGGAGAGAGATAAATCAAGGATGGATTAAACATGCAAGAACAATTAACAAAGATCAAACAAGAACTAGAATTAAACAAGGATAAAAATCAGAAAATTAATTAACAAAGGAGAGAGAAAGAGATTACTAATTGATGCTTCAAGATTGAGAATTATTGTTGTTGAAATTGATAGAACAAACTTCAATTGATTCTTACAAATGATTGAGTTTTTGGAAATCTAATCTAAGGGAGAGGAAAACTATGCACTAATTATGAGAATAAGCCTAAGGGAGTTAGGAGAGAAGAAGATCCGTACAAAGAAGCACAAGGGAGGTATTTATATGACCCCCAAATAAAAAGGACGGAGAAAACAAGAATCGGGCTCGACAGCAGGTCTGCACAGACGTGCCAAGGTACATCATCAATGTGCAGACTTATGGACGGCTGTGCAGAACCTGTAATGCTGTAACAGTAGCTACTATTTTGGCAACCTGCACCCTGCACAGACGTGCAGGTTTTGGCACGAACGTGCTTGATTCTTGCACGGGCGTGCTTGAATCTACACAGCTGTGCAGACCTGGGCAATGGCTATATCTTTTTTCTAACTCCCCCTGCACGGATGTGCAAGGCTGGGCATGGCCATGCAGGGTCTTCTTCGCCTCATTTCTCCTTCTTTCTTCGATCTTGCTTCTTTCTTCTTCATTCTTGCTTCCCTTCTTTTCCTCATTGCTCTAATTCCTTGCTTACTTCCCGGGATGCTTCATAGTCCATTCTTGGGACCTAAAATGTCATCAAAAACAATAACAACCCCGTGAAGCACGTAATACACAAAAATGCATAAAAATAGAGTGATTATTGAGCTAAGACATTAATTCCTCACTTATTCAAGGCTAAAAACCACTTTATTATCACACCAAATAGCAAGCTATCATCTATTAGTCATTATCACTAAACCATAAACAAGACAGGTTTCGAGAACCTTTTATATACATCGGGGTGTACGTAGAGGTAGGTGCACCCAAAGGTATTTTTTTGCTCATTTAATATAATTTTGCTCATTTTAGATTTTATAATGAGCAAAAGAAAAATATCAAATGAGCATAAATACATTTGGGTGCATCTTACACCCGGGTGTACATAACAATTTGTAACATGTTTCTCATATAAGAGAGGGAAATTTCATTGTTTGTTTTGATAAATGGTTTATGTTTATCAAGGGGGTCTAAGTAGCGATTTTAACAGTAAAAGAAACATGTGCACTTATTTACACTATTGTCACTAGATAAACAATTGTTTATCATGAAAATCAAGTGATCAACTTGTATTTTCCCCATATAAGGCAGCATATAGTTTAATTACTCGTATAATCATTCATTTTTTTTTCCAATTGATCACTCGACTACAGTTTGAGTTGACAAGAAGCCTTCTACTACATGAAAATTGTAATTGCTACATGCAACCTATTGATCTTTGTTTGATAAAATTTAAGGTCTTGATTCTTGAGACTTACCTCCCGAAATAATTATAGCACAAAAAAAAATCTTGTTAAGAATATTCTAATTTTTGATTAAAAATTGTTAGAATAATGTTATTCATAGTGCCTTGGATGTTATCTAATTAGCTAGATAGGTAGCAATAATATATAAAATATAATATCTTAAAACTAATTATGCTTGTTTTAATGATTCTAGAACTAGTGAATAGCTCAGACGTTGCCCTAAGTTGCCATTTTTGTAGTTGTGTAATTGCAAAATTTTAAGGATCTTGCTAACAAGCGCCTCGATGGTAGATAAGAGATAAATATATATTACTTAAAATAGTATTAAGTACGGACATGAAAAAATCACGCGTCTATTAGTGTAATAAAAGATAAATATATTACTTAAAATAATATTAGGTTTTGCCAATTTTTAAAAGCATTAATAATTTGTATATTTTTTTTAATACTTTTGTGTACTCCCTCCGTCCCTTAATTAGATTCCTACTTTTAGCATTTATTCCTCACATAATAGAGAGAAGTAGGTATCTAATTAAGGGATGGAGGGAGTACATATTAGAGCATTATTGATAATAAGCCCAAATGGTAAAACAATAATCTTTCTTTTAAAAGGTTTTTATTTTTATTTTTTTTTACAAGAGCAAATGTATTCATAAAATCAGAGTTTACAACATACAGGATAAGAAATTAAACTTAAAATATGGCTTTTAACACTAAAGCCGTTACAACAACTTTTGAGACTAAAGACGAAAATATACTTGAATTGGCCGGATAAGTCGCAGATTAGGGACTCCTTACAAACCAAGGAGAAAAAACATACTACATTCGCAACGGAGGGGATCGAAACTGTTTGACCATGGCTAGCACATCCTTACCTGGCAGGATCAACTCATCACCAAGTAAGGTCATCAAACGGGTCACTTGAACTAGTGACCTTCCAATCAATAGCTTTCCTTGTTGGCAAGAAAGCTTTGACAATGTTGAGGCTCGAGAAACCCCAAAACAAAGTTTGGGCGCCTGCTTCAGATGATAAGAATTATGAGTAATGACCAAAAAAATCATTACATCCGAGGAAAGAGAAACCAAACTCATACCACTCCAACAACGTACACACTTCACCTTAGCCAAGACCAACTTCTTGTTCAAACTCCCAACAACCGCACCTGTAACCTTTCTTACCACAATAAACACCCCACTGTCCTTAACAAAGGGGCTTAACTCCCACTGCACAAAACCATCCGAAATACTATAGCCAAAACAACTGTATAGCCCGGAAAACAACCAAAGGGGGCTAAAACATACTGTAACAATAACTAAGGCAAGTAAACTCTGATAAATACTAAGAACAAACATACTTAAGATAGGGAACAAACCAGAGGAGAGCACCGTCCAACCCGACAACCCGAAACCACTTACACTAGGAACCTCGAAACCCTAGCCCTAACTTCACCGTTTCCGTTACTAACTACTCTTGACGGCGGCGTTAGACCTAGCCCTCCAGTGCAAGGACCCACGAAACCCTAACCCTAACTTTACCGTTTCCATCACGGTCAAAACTACCTATGACCTTTATGACGGCGGCGTTAGGCCTAGTCCTTAGGCCTTGTTTCACCGGCGGAGAGACCCTTTGAACGAACACAAACCTTCCACACAAAGGTGGGCAACGACGACGGAGGTGACAATCTAAACACTCCCCTCAGAACCTTCAAAACTTAGAAAAGGCTCTCACAAACATTTCCAAAGGATTGAAATCCCCAAGAAGAAAGAGGATAACGGAGTGAGGAAACCTCCAAATCCAAGAAGGGGAAAATAAAATAAAGGGGAAGAGGAATAGAAACCAATAGAAGAAGAAGACAGAGGAGGGGAAAAGATGACGCGGAGGCTGCGGCGGCCGGAGCTCCGGCGGCTTTCTTAGTTGGAGCCACCTCAGAGCAGAACGAGGAGTTTAGGAAACGAAAAACAGAGTACCCTCGCTCGCCGGCGCCTGGCAGATTAAAAGCAGGGGAAGGGAGGAAACTCGTCGGAGAAACGGCTGCGGCGCTGGATCTCCGGTGAGCACCTAGGTTTCCGGCAGGTTTTTCTTTTGGGAGGAGAGAGAACAGAGACTTTTAAAAGGTTATTATTGCTTATAAAACTCTCAACCCCCAACAAAACCCTAAAACTCTTAGCCTCCTTTAACCTTTCATTCTTACGCTTAATCCTCAACTCCAACACTCTTTTACACTACTTTCTTTCTCCCTCTTTAATAGATTATTCAATAATTTTGTGCAGCATAATTCAAGAATTGCAAAGACAAGTTGTAATTTATGGCTGAAGACGATCTTTGCTCGAAGGAGGTATTTATCCAAACCATATGTTTTCTTGATTAAATCTGATCGGATCGAATAAGAATGGATGGATTATTTCAATTGTTAATGGTATTGTCTTTGTTTGTGTGTTACAGATGGATGCCGATGATAAATACACTAGAACTTTATTAAACTTAAAGGAACAATCTCACAACATAATTAATATTATTGCACATAATTTTTTTATATCTAGTATACCACATTTTTCAATCAAAATATTAGTTTATTCTCGAATTTCTTAAACATAATGGCATTGTCAATGCGGATTGAACATTACAAAACTATAAACAATAGTAGCTGTAATACGTGATAATCCTATCTTTTCCCGTCAAAGTCTAATTTAACATTTATTCTTTCCGATCCGTTTAGAACGGTTATTGCTTTAATTTTTCTTATGTGTAAAAAAGAAAAGGTCATATTGTAAGAGACATTCGATAGATTATGAAAGGCCAACTAAAGTTATTTGTAATATTTGAGTATTGTTACACAATTAGACTATAATTAACATTTAACATTGAAGTATTACACTATATATATTTTTTTTATTAAAAATAAATTAAAACTTTTGGTAAAAAATCATGAAGATCATCTATTGTACGTATAGAAGCTTGCTTTTTATTGATAGATTTAAGTATAAAGTTTAACTATAATAACTTTGTTGAATATGTAGATAAAAATATATGTAGATAAACAATATATGGATATATTCTATATATAAGACAACCGAATGAGATCAGAGAGTGTCATTTGTCATCCTCACATTGATTTGCTTGTCTTATAGTATAATACATATATAGATAGATATCCATATACAACCTTCGTTTTTTATTAGTTGCAACAAAAGAGTATTATTTGTGAGTCATAAAAAAAAAACATTTGCTACAAACTAATAAGAAAGGGAGGTAGTACTTACTATAGAAAGTTGTTGTAGCTTGTAATCAACTCTTTTCTCTTTCACTGTTACCAGATCTCATGAATATGTTGTACGTTGGATCGATCGTGAACAATCATACTTCAAGTTGATTGAATTATTGAGATCGCCGGATTTGGTGATGATTATTTTCCCTGAATTGATAATACCCACTACTGTACATTTTGACCCTGATTGTACCTCAACCTCCACGGTTTTTTTTTTTTTTTTTGGTTCGGTATTAGCGGGTCAGACAATTTGAGAGTGAGGGGGAAGGATAAGGGATCCCCACCCTCAAAGTGTCGCGGGTGGGAATTGAACCCTCAACCTCAAGGTTGAAAGGTGGAATCCTTACCACTAGACCAAAACTTAGCTTCGTACATTTTTATGGCTTTTGAAAACTGATTCATGTTAATTGTTTTGACAGGAAGAACCCCTTAACGTTATCAAACTGCTGGCTTCATATGCTGAACAACTGAAGATATTTAATCTTTGCCTAGAGCATATTGAGATGGGAAATATCATCGAGCTAGGCGCCTTACTCTTTGTTTGTTGAGGTAAGCTGTTTGTTCCGTCTCCTGATCTAGAGAATACCCCAATCGTGCAGTTTATAATGAGGGAGTTGGCACCACAATCAGAGCTTTACATGTATGAGGAGAATTTTGTTAATGCATTCAATGTCATTAGAATTTTTAGGCTTCAGGTACAACTTCTTAGTATACACCACCTCTGTTCTTCATTAATTTTTTTTTTGGTTATATAAATACAACACTTTGACCATTTATATCTGTAATTGTATATTACATTTTATTTTGCTTTTCTCCCTGAAGAGAATGTTGAAGCATGAGGCGCAACGTGACATTACCTATACGGGACCTTGGGATGTGAGTAGTGACATAACAGACCGGTAAAGAGAGATTCTGATTATTATTGCTGTTGAGTTGATGTTCTTTGATATATTCCTTGCTACTATTTGGTTGCCCTAAATAGTTTGGTTGTTTAATAACCTAGCTTAATTTAATTTGATTAGCCAGCAATCTGACTTAATTAGTAAGTAACTTGTGCACTTTATTTGTGAATATGATGCTCCAATGTGGATTGATCAAGTTTGCTTCTCAAGCTCACCTCTGAGTCTCAAGGTACGAACCTTTGTCTACTACCTTTTGCAAACAACATGTTAAGAGTTGTGAGATATGAAACAAAATTTATACTAACTTCAATTCTTATAATGTGCAACAAAATTATACTAACTTCAATTCTTATTATGTGCAACAAAGGGGTATTATTTATGAGATATAAAATATCCTTTTGTTGCACATAATAAGAAACGAAGACAATAAATAAATGAACAAATATAGTATTGTAGTTGATATTTACATGTCATCTAATGCAATTGTCAGTGTTGAAAAGGTAGATATTTTCTAACAAGCAAATGCTTTCTAAATCAACTTCAGAATCTTATGTTGGGGTAAAGATTCCAAATTGGCTCATTATATACTAGCTCTGTTTCTTATTATGTATAACAAAAAAATATTTTATATCTCACAAATAATATTCCTTTGTTGCAAATAATAAAAAAGAGAGGAAGATTTATGTACTATACACTAATCTGTTGGGGTTGCAATATCTTTTTAGGTGCAGAAGGGGTTTAAATTTTGGCTACAAAATGTTCCTCCAAAACATCCATCTCCTAGTCATCTAGCTACCAAACTTGACAAGTTAGTGGCATATCCGATATCTAAAACCGCACTGATGAAGTCATCATCGCGTAATGTTTGCACATTAGCAAGAGTTCATGCGCCTCTACTTTGGACTGTCAAGAGGATTATCAAGTAGGTGTGGGAAGGCCTTTCACAGGAATCTGATTCGGCTCGACTCGAATTTGGGTGAGGCTCAGCTCAAGTTAGTTTGTTAAGCTTTAACCTGTGTACTTGCTTGAACTTGATTCCAATACACTTTGCTTGGCTCGAGCTCATTGAGTTAAATATTGAAGCTTTGCTCGAGCTTTATTCCAATACACTTTGCTTTGCTTGACCTTGATTCCAATACACTTTGCTTTGCTTGATTCCTCTTTTAATTATTAAAAATTAATCTCTCCATTTTTGTTTTTTGTTTTTTGTTTTTCAATATCTGGAATTGAGGGAGACCAATGCATGTACTTCATATTTTTAGTAGTTCCATATTGTTTTTTTACACTTCATACGTTTCACACGATGATAGTTGTGTTGGATCTTGTTAGATTCGTCTTTATTTATATCAAGACCCAACACAACTACGTTTTTTTTATCACGTATAATTAGCTAGTGCACTATCTTAACGATTAATATCTTTAATTATCGATATTATATTGTAAAATTATAAAAAATAGATATTAGTAAAATAAAAATTGAGACGATTCAAATAAGATAATATATGACTATGTTTTATCGTAGTTATAAATAAAAAAAGTTAGTCAATAGTGCAAAAAATCAAATGGTGTCAACTAAAAAGCCGGAGGAAGTAAAATTTAATCCACTTGATCATACGGACTTTCTCATCAATATTAATGGGCTGAACGCTACCGAAACCTACTGACATGCTTGTTGGATTAAGTTGGATTATATCAAGTTTGGTTATTCGGCTTATGACAACAAGACAACAAGGCATAAAATCCATGTTCTGCTTTAGAGATGGCTAGAACTGCTAACTGTCTTACTGAACTATTTGAATCAGAAGACACTGCTTACCTTGCCGAATACGACACCCTCGAGAAACAAATTGCCAAGCAAATTGAAATTAATGACAAGGATCAATTTGCATCTTTCATCGTTCTAAATTATTACAAACTCAAGGCTTTCCCTGCTTCCGAAGTGTTCGAGCGCCTTTGCGATAAATGTGCTACTGCTTGTGTTGCTGCATTTCTTGATTCTCAACTCCGCATTTATGTTAATATATATGAAAGATATCGGGCTATCTAGATGGTAAGACCGCCACTGGAACAGGCTGCTCGTTCGTTATCTTATAGCCTTACTCACCTTCTTTTATGCCGCCGGTGCTCACTCCAACGACAATGAGCTCAGGGAAGCACTGCGGTCTTTTAGGTAAGACAGAATAAGTTTATTCCCGTCATATAATATATTACCTCCGTTTCATATTATTATTTGCAACGATTAAACACTTTTTCTCTCTACTTATGTCAAATTAACACATTATATTATATTATATTTACTTACCTTTTTTTAGGGAATATTATACTTTGTATATACTTACTTTTTTACACTTGAATTTTAATTTTTCCTAGATATAATAGTTAGATAATATGTCAGAAATTACATGACAATAGTATCATACCTACAATCTAATAATATAATTAGAAATTAACAATATGATTTATTATATAATGCTTATGTTTATAATAGAAATTTTATAATAAAAATAAAAATTACATATCTCATTCATGTAGGAAGTGTATATTCTTCTATTATAATATGTTGATTAGAAGTTTTCTTCAAAAAAAATGTAGATTAGAAAGTAAATATTCTATTTAACGTATTATTATGTATATAACCAACATAATATTATTGCACATAATTTTTTTTATAGCTGGTATATCACATTTTTCAATCAAAATATTAGTTTTTTTTCTCAAATTTCTTAAACATAATGGCACAATCAATGCGGATTGAATGAGCTATAAACACGAGTAGTAGTTGTAATACATTTTAATCCTATCTTTCCCGTCTAAAGTCTAATCTAACATTTACTCTTCCCATTTAAAGTGGTTTTTGCTTCAATTTTTCTTTTATATAAAATTGAAAAGGTCATTATAAGAGAGACATTCTATAGATCATGAAAGGTCAATTAAAGTTATTTGAATATGAAGATAAAAAAGATACTTGTATAGTTTTCAAATGGCCACAATAAAATTGTGGCCATTGTATTAAATCAAATTACAACCATTCATTTTTATTGACTAATATAAACCATTAAAATTTAATTTTTAGTAAAAAAAAAAAAAATTACCAAAAAAAATTAAGAAAAATGGGGCACTTTCTGTTCGTTTCTCTGGTTTGCCGAGTAATTTTTTTTCGGGTATTGTTAAACGTCGCCCTCATTTTACATACTAACGCCCCCATTTTATAACTTAAAGTCTTAAATGGACCATTTTGCCCCCCCTTCTCCTTCTCACTCTCATCCAGCCATCCTTCTAAATTCTCCATTAAAGGTGGCTTATGAGCTTTCAATCTTTCATCCATTGAGCACATTATCATTCTAATTAATACAGTAATACACTATACACAATTCCCAAAGTATCACAACAATCAATATGACAAAATTAACACGTAACAACATAGGAGTATTCCTGCATTATATGATTGAAATTGAGACCTCTAGAAAATAGAAATCCTTAATTAACAAAAAAAATTAGGAGTTTAAAGTTTGTTCCAAATGTTGCTGCTGGAAATTCTTGCTCCCATTGAACCATTTGTAAGAATTGGCAGCAGAGAAGCTAGGTGGGGTGCGAACTACGAAGGAGTTTTTGATGGTGGTCGAAAAACGCCCAAAATTTTCGATACCCTAAGGTGGAAACGCCTAGATATTTCGTAACTTGCAGGTGGGAACGAAAAATCCAGGCGTTTCCACCCGCAGGTTACGATATATTTAGGCGTTTCTTAATTTTTTTTTAAATAAAACAACTTCCGAAGCCTCTGATGGTGATGGTGGTCTTGGTGGCTGTTGGTGTTAGTGGTGGTGGGTGATGAGTAGATAGTGATGGCGATGGGGTTAGTGGTTGGTGGGGAGATGGTGGTGCTTCAATGGCGGAGTCCGTGGAGAAAGTCAGAATCTGCTTCATTGAAGGAAAAAGCTCATAAGTCCACTTTAATGGAGGATGCTTCAATGGATGAGAAAGCTCATAAGCTGCTTCAATGGAGGAGAAAGCTCATAAGCCACTTTCAAGTTTCAATGGAGAATTAAGAGTTGCAATGAAAATGAAAGTGAAAACAAGAGGGGCAAAATGGTCTGATAAAATTTAAATGCGGGCATTAGTATGTAAAATAAGGGTGACGTTTAGCGTTCCACTTTTCTTTTTCTGGCTTTTCTCCTCCATCTGCATCGTTCGAGTTCTTTGAAGGAAATGGAGAGTGGGAATTCTTGCAAAAAGCGTTTTGCATATTCATATCTTATTGATTTGTATACAAATTTCGGGAAGAAAAATAGTGTCTATAATACATTGAAAAAGATGAAGTTAGTGTTCCACAAATCGATTGACGCAGAATACATAATAGCTTCCCTGGAAAGCTTGAGGAATTGAAAGATCATAGCCTTCATTGATCTTAGAATTTGGGATGGATTGGAATAACTTGGATAAGAACGAGGAGCAAAGCCAAAGCCTATTCTGTAAATGAAAGAAACTGACAAAAAAATGTGGACCTTTGTTTTTTTTTTAAATAAAAAGTAATTCATATCAACGGTTTATATTAGTCAACATAAATGAATGGTTGTGATTATATTTAATATAATGACTACAATTTTATTGTAGCCACTCGAAAGTCATCCCAAAATATATATATATCGATAACTCACATTGATTTTCTTGTCTTATAAGCATAATACATAGATTAGATGGATTATGGATAGATACCCTTATACAACCTCTGTTTCTTATTAATTGTAACAAAGGAGTATTATTTATAAGTCAAAATAGTCTTCAAAAAAAAAATTGTAAGTCAAAATAAAAAAAAAAAAATCATTTGTTGCAAACTATTAAGAAAGGGAGGTAGTACACTAATACTTACTATGAAAAATTGTTGTAGCTTGTGATCAACTCTTTTTTCTTTCATTGTCACCAGATCTCGTTACTATGGTCAACAATCATACTTCAAGTTGATTGAATTATTGGGATCGCCGAAATTGGTGATGATTATTTTCCCTGAATCAATAATACTGAGGGGTCGTTTGGTTCGCACAGGGGAATCGGAATGAAATGCAGAAAAGGCATGAAGGAGAAAGGAAAGAATTAACCCTGATTTGCCCTGGTTGTTTGGTTTTATCTAGGAAACGGAATGAAATGCTGATTGATTCCCTTTGTGACTGTTTGGTTCAAACTAGGGAATCAAACCATTCTTGATTCTGACAAAAAAAAAAAGTCATTCTTGCTATAGCAAAAAAATTCAACAATGCAAAATTTATAGCAAATTCAATCACCATGAAGGCATTTATGAACAAATTAAAGAGTAATATCTTATTACAAGTGCATGAACGATTAAAAATCTTATTCGTGTTAACAAAAGTAAATAAGAAATGCGACAATTCCTCTCCACCGCATCGCCTCCGCCATCGTCAACACCCCACTGACCTCCTCCGCCGCCACTGCCAGTTTAAAACAAGGAAAATCCACAAAGTTACATAAATTCAAGAAAAAAAACGAAAACTGCATTACAAAACGGAGGAATTAGGGATTCCCTGCAGCAGACAGTCGACGGTCGCAACAGGTGTTCGACGGTCGCAAAAGGGTGGTCGGCGGTCACGGATCTGATGCCGGAAGGCTCACCGGCGACGGTGACGGCTTCGAGCTCGTTAGGGTTCACTTGAGAAGCTTGAGAAGAGCGAGAGGGGCGTCGGTGTTCGACTTAGCTTCACCGGTAATCATGACGTGAATGCCGGAGGCGGACGTTCTGCAGTCGGACGTGAACACCGGTGGCGACAACGTCTTCGACCGTGGCAGGGAGCGACCGAGCAGTGGAGAGGCTTGAGAGGAGAGAGAGAGAGGCGTGGGTAATGAAGGGGAATGGGAATGCAAAAGGCTAGGGGGGTTGGGGAATGAGTCTAGGACAATTTTGGGTAAACCCAAAAATAAAAATGGAGAATGAAAATGACAAAGATGCAAAACAAACATTTACAAAGGTAATATTCCCATTCCCTTTCCCCATTACAAAGAACCAAACGACCCCTAACTGTTGTACATTTTTATGGCTTTTGAAAACTGATTCATGTTAATTGTTTTGACAGGAAGAACCCTTAACGTTATCAAATTTTTGGCTTCATATGCTGAACAACTGAAGATA